GTGATAATCTCATGCCTAACTTGCTCGATATTCAACATGGTATGTGCTAACATTTCCTTTGCCCTTATTCTGGTGTGTCGCTGTGTCTGCTTCCCGCAAGAACAATAGATGCATTGCTATCTTTTGTTGCTTGGGGCCATGCCTGATGTGCCATCGCCCCTTTTTTGAGAACAATTGCTAATTGGATGTCCATCATAGAAAGCTCCTTTAGATTCGGCCGCAAGGGTTTCCACAACTCACAGAAAGGCTCATTCTTCATTGCAGTTCAAGGCATCCAGATGGATTTAAAAGATATATCTTATTATATCAAGAGATCTGGTGGTCCTTTCAACCACGACGAGGGTATTCTCGATATTTACCTCGGGGGCACTGGACTCAGTTTCGACATCAAATTGACTGCAATCAATTCAGGGGAGAAGAATCGTCAAAACTTCTTGAGATGTGACAGCGTCAAAGTTAACATGAAGAAGATCAAGCTTAAGATCAAGCAATCAAGACACAAGGCGTTGCTCACCGTTGGAAAGTCATTGGCGCTCAAACCTCTTACAAAAGCTGTTTGTAAGGCTATCGAGTTGGCCATCAAGCAGAAGGTTGAAGAAGCCGATGGATTCTTATTTAGAATCAAGCAAGAAGCCGATAAAGCTCAACAGGAGGCCACCCAAAATCCAGAGAATATCCCCAACATTTACAGACAATATCTTTCTGCTTTCCAACGACAAATGACCAAGGGACAGGAGAAGGCACAAAAAGCACAAGCATCCGTGGCAGATAAGCAATTCAATATGCCTATGACAATGGACGATTCGATTATGCCTCACGTTATCTTGCCAGGTGGAATCTCAGCCAAGGCAACCGAGCATAAGAATAATGCTAGACAAGGCGCTGATTGGAGATCACCTGTCTTTGATATTGGAAGTGCCAAAGGATCTACAAGTCTTCCTAAACCAAAGGAAATCTCAAGAAAGCCACATTCGGTTACTCAAGGTGGCGTACGAGGTCCACAGAACACAGGCAACACAAGTAATCAAGGTGCTCAACAAGGCTATGGTCAACAAGGCTACGGTCAACAAGGTTATCCTCAAGGTACTGGACAGAACTATGGAAAACCAGGATATGGCCAGCAAAACTTCAATCAACAAGTTGATGCTGCTTTCGATAACACCGGCGCAGGTGTACTTCCCAGCACTACTGGTGTCGGTATCTTACAGGGCCAAAGTGCTAGCAACGGTGCTGTTGGCAATGGCGCTTCAAACCAAAAGAATGTCCTTCCTACTAATGGAAACACTCAATTGGGATCCAACAACCCAGTTTTACAAGGTAGAGTTTAATTACCTTGATCGATGGATGCAAATGCATAATCTCTTTTCTTATGTTTTGCGGAATGGAATTGTTTCCTCAAAAGATACCACTACTGCGGATAATATCAATGCATATTTGGGGTTGGTGGGGTTAAAAAATCCAAAACTGGAATGGATGGGGATGGATGATGGTTTCATTTGTTTTTTCTTTACTTGTTTGCATGGGGTTCACTTTGATACCTGATTGATTTTTTGCTTCTTAATTGCCAATTAATTGGTGATAGAAAGATACCATAGCGTTTTATCGGGCTGGGTGATGGAAAGAGAATCATGAATGGAGATTAATGATTGTTCGTTGATAAATGGACGCAGCCATGAATTATGATGATGTGATGGTTGGGACAGGACAGAACTCCTTTGACCATGTTCTTGGGGTTCAAAATAGCGATTTCTTATATGTCATTAATAATGAAGATACTTCTAGCGATCATTGTAAACTTATTTGAACTGTGATATTGAATTGTGATATTGAACTGTGAAAATGATGGTGAATGAAGCGGACTGAAGCAAAAGAGATGTTGGTAATGTAATGGTTGAAGATGTTGTTCTTATCGCCGAATGAGATGTGCTCAGTATATGTAGTAAGAAGTGGCTTAATAGGACTACAATTTCGTTTTATATATTTTGAGAGTTCTGAGGATGTTAGAATTGTTCATCATGAGTTATTTAAGGAACGATGAGGTCTATAGTACAACTCGACTCGGCAAGCTCGGGGAAGGACTCTCGATGTGTAGTGTAGCTACCCCACATTCCGTCATCGATTACATAATATGAGTCTTCGGAGGCACGGGCGAATGATTGATTGTTGATTTGATTGATAAGTAATAAGGTGGATACTAGGTAGGTACGTAGCTTCGAGTCTCGAATTGGGAGTTTCTTGTCTGTTCTGTTTGTTTAGTTTCTTTTGCACATTTTATATATAAATTATATAAATAAATGCTATCGAGATTGCGGAGTGCTGGGATCAATCGATCATTGGGATTGGGTGTTTCTGAGAGAAGTTTGTTTGTGAGTTTGATTTTTTTGATTGTTTTTGAGTGGAGGGAAGAGGGGAGAGGGGAAGAGAGAAGGAGGGAAGGAGGAGATTGTGCGATTTCTTTGGATGTTTTTGGAGGAGAGATGGATGATATGTATATGTTACGATTGCGCAAGAGAAATCGGAAATCCGAAAACAAAATACAAGATAAGAGAGAAGAGAACAAAAACTAATCACCCTCTCCAACACTCTCTAGAGAAATATCACGAGTATCAACACGAAGACCGAAAGTCGAGGCATAGAAAGACGAGGCCTAGAAAGACAAAGATACGGACACATACACACGCAGAAACGCAAGATGCATATTCAAAGTATTCCGATGTGGGAGGGGAGCTCGAATAATTATGCGTATTTGGTGGTGGATGAGGGGAGTAGGGATGCGGTGATTATTGATCCGGCGAGTGCGGGGGAGTGAGTTTGGTTTTTTTGGTTTTTGTTTTGGGGAGAGGAGAGGGAGAGGAGGGTAGAGGGGAGTGGCACATGGTGGATTTGGTGTGAGAAGAAAGAGGTTGAGGCTAGCAGATTGGCAAATTGGCAGACAAGGCGGGTGGAGGGGGAAACGGAGAGAAGGATAGAGGACGGAGGAGACGTTGGAGTTGGTAAATAACAGAAAGGCTAACGATAATAAAATAGGGTCGCGCCAGTTTTAAAAGAACAAATCAAGGATGGAAAGATCAATTTAGTTGCAATTGTCAATACACACCAGTGAGTATCTCTCTGGCATTCATCTCCCTAGGAAACATTATTCTGATACTTGAAATCTAGCCATTGGGATCATGCAGGAGGAAATAATAAAATAGTAATTCCTCTCTCTTCCCCTCCCCTTCAAAGGTAATCTCAGCTAAGAACATCGTCCAGCTCGCCGATCCAGAATTCAAAGGAAAACCCGTAATTGGAGGGAAAGATTGTGAGGGAGTTACAAAGACACCCAAGAATGGAGAGGGTTTTACAATTGGAGAGATCAATGTCAAGGCACTTTATACACCGTGTCATACACAGGATAGCATTTGTTGGTTTATGGAGGATAAGAGTGGAAAGGCAATTTTCACAGGAGATACCTTGTTTCATGGAGGTGAGTTTATGAATTGGTGGTGCGAGCGAGACAGGAAGTAGATGGCTAGAATGCATACAGAGCTGATCAAAACCAGGATGTGGAAGATTCTTCGAAGGAACAGCAGAGGAAATGCACACGGCGCTCAACAAGACACTTGCAGCTGTACCAGATGATACAGTTGTTTATGTAAGTCTCCTTTTCCTTTTATGCTCTCACCATCCGAAACTTGTCATCAAATACTTACCATTCGATCTAGCCCGGCCACGAATACACCAAAGCCAATGTCAAATTCGCCGTCTCGGTTTCCCAAAGTGAAGCCGTCAAGGCCCTCGAAGCTTTCGCAGACACGAATAAGGAAACGCAAGGAAAATTCACAATTGGGGATGAGAAGAAACATAATGTTTTTATGAGGATGGATGATCCGGAGATTCAAAAGGCTACGGGGGAAACGGATCCCGTGGAGGTCATGGCGAAATTGAGGGAAATGAAGAACAATTTTAAGTGAGTGTAAGTATTACTTGAGTGTTTTTTTTGTTTAGATGGGAGATAGATGTATACTGATGGAAGTCTTGTGTAGAGAACCAATGGCTAAATTTTGATGATGTGAGGGAAGTGGATTTCGTTATGGGGGAATGCTGGAAATATAAATAAATGAAATGTACCTTGATTTGAGAATTGATATGCAATATATACTATATGCCTAAGGACTTGTGTAAAGATATCTGAGTAGGGAGGTAGGTATATATTCTAACTGATGGATTAAATCAAGTGGGTAAATAGTGTAGATGTGAATAATTACTATATTCCTACCTACCTATATGTCGAAAATCTTCCCCTCGCTTTCGCTTTCGCTTTCTCTTTCTCTTTATTTTTATTTTTCATTTCTTTTACCCCTCACTAGGTAAGCAGCTGAATAGGTAGATAGGGATGCGAGGAGAAGAGGGGGGAGGAGAGGAGAAAATGCTCCGAATGGAATGTAATATAATATGAATAATATATAAAGGTGGGTGGGTGGTACTGGCATTTAGGTGGATAGGTAGGTAGGTAGGTATACTTATTATGTATGTATGTATGTAAGATTATATGTGTATGACGTAATCTATTTCACATGATTCTATGTACCTAGGTATGTAGCTTGAATCTTGAATCTTGAATCTTGATTTCGATTCTGATCGCGGAGGGTTTGCTCCTTTGTATCGTAGATCAGAAATGTGATGTGATGTGATGTGATGATGTGATGTGATTTGGTGAGGTAAGGAACGGTGTGTAAGGTTAGTCTTGATTTGTATATGTAATCTTATATGTATATGTAGAAAGGGTATATATAGTATGTTGGGATACTTTGAATTGTTGTTTTTGTTGTTGTTTGTGTAGGAGATTGGATTTGGAGTATTGAGAGTATTGAGAGTATTGAGTATTGAACGTAAGATTACATATTGAGAAATAACGAGAAACGAGGAACGAGAAACGATACTTGACGAAGAAAGGAAGAAAGAAAGGAAGAAAGAAAGAAAGGGAGAAACGAAGAAAGGAGAAACGAGGAAACGAAGAAATGACACAGCAACCTCATACACATGGCGCACCGGGGCCGGAAGTAAGTGGGAAGGATCAGGTAGGTTTTTTTGTATATCTCTCTCTCCATACACGCACATCATATATATCATACATCCAACACAACCAACACACCACGAAACAAACAACTAACACCTCAAAATAGATACTCGAAATGGGAGCAAGCATCACGCAGGATTTTGCGCCGGTCAAAAAGATTTGTGCGCATCTTAATGCGTTTCATGTTTATGCTGGGGAGGGGGAGGAGGGTAGGAGTGTCGAGGCGAATCATTATTGTACGCATTTGAGTGGGGATGTGAGTTGGGGTTCTTTTTTTTTGTGTGTGTGTTTTTGGGGTGTTGGGGTTGGGGAGATGGAGGGAATGGAGGGGGAGGGAAGAGGGAGAGAGGAGAGAGGAGAAATGAAATGGGAGAGAGCGTGGGAAGAGGGTGGGGAGAAGGAAGAGGGGATAGATGAACGGGATGGAGGAAAATGGATGGGAAGAGATGGAGGGGAAAGGGGGGTGTAAACGGAGGAAGGAGGAATGAAAAATAGAGAAGAAGCCAGAGAGGATAGGTAACGAGGAAGGAGATGTGGAAAATGAACTATGAGTAGATGAAGCAAAAACGAGGAGAGGAATGGAAGACAAGGTTCTCCAGTAAAGAATCACAGGAGCTTTATGTAACGAAGTCGTTACTGATGCTCGACTATCGAGACTATAGATATGAAATTGAAACTCGGATATCAAGAAGTCCAAGTTACTAACAAAAACAATACGCATTGTAGGTTCGTCAATGTCTCATCTACGATTCCCCCACGAATCCGGCACGCTTGATTGGAGTCGAATATATGATCACCCGGAGATTGTATGAGAAATTGGATGAGGAGGAGAGGAAACTTTGGCATTCGCATGATTATGAGGTAGGGTTTGTTTTTATGGTGTTGCTTTTTGGGGGGGGGGGGTTTTGGCTTCCCTATCTCTTGGTGTATTCCCCCTCATACATACATACACCTTTCCCATTTTATTCAGAATATGTTATTCCTCTCCATAATTCATTATAAACACGATCCTAACACCCGCAAGGTCAAATCCGGAATGCTCATTCTCCCCAACCCCACAGTCCCAGATGCAGTCTGGACCGTCGCAGAGACGGAAGAAATGAAAGAGGTGATTGGGTTGTATGGGAAAACATTTCATTTCTGGCAGACGGATAGGGGGGATGAGTTACCGCTCGGGATGCCGGTTTTGATGGGGAGTTTTACGGCGGATGATCAGGTATGTTGGGGGGTTTGTTTCTTGGTTGTTGGGAGGGGGGGTGAAGAGGGGATGGGTATGTTAATGAGAAATTTACTGATCATGGATAATTATAATCTAGGTACCGTGGGATAAAGTCAAAGAAAGAGATGAAAGATTTGGGGTTGATACGCAGAAGAAAAGGGAGGCGAGGAAGGGGATTGAGAGTGTGGATATTCATGAGGATGCTGATCAGGTTTGGAAGAAGAAATGAGTTCTTTGTAGTTAGGGGGTGGAATGTGTTTTTATGGGTAGCTGAGAGACGATGATGTTCTTGTTGTTGGTTGAAGAGGTTATGTCTCCCTCTGTCTAGGTGGATGCTTGATTTAAGGGTGGATTGGGTACCCTCTTTTATGTATCTATCTACTTGGTATTTATTAATTTATCAATCATGAAAGAAATGATTAATGCTAAAGTGAAAAATGTAAAAAGTGAACGATCATTACACATTCAATACACATTCAATGAATACTTTTCACTTATAAGTTAATATCCACTCCCCTCTCTCTCTTCCCTTCCTTACCCCCCAGAAACACCCCCAAACAAAATACTCAAAAAAACTCAAAAAATATAATATCTCGAGTGGACTCGGGATCGCAGAATGCGGCTTCTGTGGATCGAACACAGTGCCTCCAGATTAATGAACCGAAGTAGACTTCAGTCTGGCGCTCTCCCAAGTGAGCTAAAGCCGCTTGGTGTTGTGTTGATTGTTGAATTCCGAGGCAGAAAATAAGGATAAGTTATTAATGGAAAGTTTAAGATGGGGTGAGATGTTCATTGGTGGGTGGTGGGACTTTGGTGGGGGGAGGAGGGGTGGTGGATTTGTTTGTTCTGTGTTGTGGATTAGGAACTGAGGACTGCTGGGAATTGATTGTGTGGGTTGGTGTGTTTGGTGTGGTTGTGCGAGAAGAGGGTTTATATCAATATACACGAATTAGACGAGATATGGGAGTTGGAAGGGAGAGGGAATCACGACCGAGAAGGTGTGTGGATGGATGTGTGTGTATACACGTGTATTTCAAGGGAATCAGTGTTTAATTGGAATTCTTGGGTGTATCTAATACAATCTAGGGTTGGGTGTCGCTCTGGGGATTGTATAGTTGATTGAAGTATTGGTTGTAGTTTCGAGGGGCTCGAGGGGCCTCGGGGATATCAAAGAAAACGGAAAAAAGGGGAAAATCGCCGGATTTTTGCAGGGTGGATCTTTCGCTCCGATCTTTTCTCGGTTTTTATATTAATCATAATTACTGTACCAATACTGGTTCACAAAGTTTGTAGATAGAACTAGATCTCCATTCAGAAAATTCCTAAAAATCCTAAAATTTCAGAATCAGTTTAAAATAATCTGGATTATATATATACAAATTTTCAATAATTTCTATCCGTAAATAAGAAAGTTAAAAATGTCATTTTTTGAGGGTTTTGGTGAAAAAGAGTGGTCCGAAACAGGGGTGGCCAGATAATGAAGGGTTCAACTTAAATACAAATTGTTATTGGTTGTTGAAGACCTCTGTTCGGCTCCCAGCTAATATATAGAATATTGTTACTTGTAATATCATTTCTCTATACTCTATACTCTAGACTTACCTTCTTGGTCTGATTATACAAAATCTCTGCAAAGCTAGCAATTGTCGAATTGGGAGCAAGCAGCTGCTGAAATGGGATATCCACCTTGAACTCCGTGAAAATCCAGTTACGAAACTCTGCACCAATCATACTATCCAAACCATAACTTGCAATTGCCCGAGCCTGAGGATTAATCTCATCCTTGTTAATCATCAACACCGTTGAAAGACCGTGTACGAGATGTTCCGATATACAATTGACCGCCTCTTCCTTGTCTAACGAATTCTCAATTTTGGCCAGGATACTGCTGCTTTTTGTGACGCCATCATTCGCGATTTGGTTTTCCATCTTGGCGAGAATTATACTGAGTCGAGGCTCCAGAGGCCATGTTACTTTTGTTTCGGTTGCCGAAATGGCTTTGGCTAGTCGAGAAGGCTCGATTCCTGCGATGATATGATCGGCTTCCGGCTGGTGAGCCATCATAGCAACTTCAAAGGAGGCAAGCATCTCACTTTCATCGATGCCATAAAAGCCTTTTCTGCGAAGAGACGTCTCGATCTCGGCATGATCGGCAACGTATCCAATACCGACGACCATGGGCAAGATGAGTGAAATACCGGTGAGGCCTTGTTTCCTTCGATGACGAGCGAGAAAATCAAGGAATGAATTCGCTGGGAGTTTGTTAGATTCTTTTGAAATCTCAGAGTAGGGGATTGCCTGAATTACCTGCGGCATAGTTGCTCTGGCCAGCTGAGCCTAGGGTTCCGGAAACTGAGCTTGTCATGACGAAAAAGTCCAACTCGGTCTTGTTTGAGAAGACTTCATGGAGATTTAGACACCCTTTAACCTTAGGTTCTAGGACTTGTTGCCAACTATTAATGTCCATTTTTTGAAATAGTTTGTCCTGTACATGTGCGGTTAGATGGGTGGGCATCTCACAAGGATAAGTGTATACATACTTTTAGGACCATTGCTGCATGCACAACTCCACGTATTGGGTACTTTGGGTCAATTGAAGCAATCGCCTTCAAAATTTGTGGTTTTGATGCTACATTGGCACGTAACACCACTGCATTCACACCACTCGCTTTGAGACCTTCAACCAAAGCTAGAGCTGAAGGACTATCGGTGCTCTCCTATTAAATATTAGCTTTGCAACTGCAAGTAAAACTCTCTTTGAATACCTTCAATATTCCAAGAGGGGGGATCTGGTAGGGTAGATAGATGGCGATCAAGACTTTGGATTGATTTGAGAAAACGAGGATATAGTTGTAGTAAGCGGGCTCCCATTTGTGGCCACTGCGCACCTTGACCTACGTTGAAAACATAAGTATTTTTCCGTGATTTGGTAATGAGTCTAGGGATAGCATTAATATACCTGTAAATATCAGAGCAACTGTTGCTGGGCCTTTTTCGGCATGGTCGTTTTCGAGGGCACTGCTAAGACTGTTCACATAAGATTCCTTGCGACATACAGCGAAAGCACGACGAGTAAGCTTGGTACGGCGACAGGCTAGAGTATATGCAAGGTCTAACATAGGCTGTCCTTTAGCCAGACCAAAATTCAACTGAGCGTGTGCATCAATATTCCTTTCCAAGGTCTCGCGATCATGAGCAGAGAAAACTAGGAGGTATGGTCGGTTTAAATTTTCGATGTTCTCGTCCCCATTGCTTAAAGCATGAGTAGTTTTATATAAGGAATTGTGATTGCGATAGTGCGGCAACAATGCCTCAACATTCTCAATGATAGCATTTGAATTAGTGCCCCATACCCAAACGCGTTTACGCCAACACGACGTATTGGGAGATTTGTGGGAAAGGGAGTAGGATCTGTGACGACTTTTACCTGCAGCCCGGACCAATTTACTAGTCATTAGTGATTAGCAGAATGTATGGATCGAGTGAGTAAGGAAATGTAACGAACTTTTTTTGTTAAGATTTACAACACCCGCGGTTGGGGGTATGACCCCCCGTTCAATGGCGAGCACAGTTTTGATGACTGTGGAAATACTGCTCGAGGCTTCGCTGTGTCCCACATTGGGTTTGACCTTAGACAATTCGTTAATTTTGAAAACTTTTAGACTATTGTAAGTCTCATATACGCACGCTTCCAATTAAGATCGGAGATTCTGCCCCGGTATGAGGTCTCATGGTGTCGCCAACCGCACGCACCTCGACCGGATCTCCAACTTGAGTTCCAGTTCCGTGGCATTCCCTTCGGCCCTTATCAGTAACAATGAAGCCATACAAAATGCTGAGCGTCATATTGAACTTACACGTAGCCGGTCAGAACAGGGTCGAGGCCACTCAAATTGTATGCGGCTTTCATCACATCGGCCTGGCCCTGAAAGCTTGGAAATGTAATTGCAGCGTCGCGCACTTTGCCGTTACTGTACATGCATTAGTTCCGGATCTGTACGTGGGGAAGATGTGATGTACGCATTCACAGCAGTAGATCTGATTACGGCACGAATAGGATCGCCGTTCTTTATAGCCAGATCTAGGCGCTTTATATAAAGTGCACCAACACCCTCGGCACGGCCATAACCATCAGCCGCTTCATCGAATGTGTGGCAGATGTTCGTCGGTGATAATACATTCAGCGCTGCGGTGTTCATTTGCTGATCAACCGACAATATTAGGTTTGCCCCCCCCCCAACAATTGCAGCTTCACATTCTTCATTCCGAATGGCACTGCACGCGGCATGAAGTGCATACATAGAGGATGAGCATGCGGTATTTGTGGCTACGCTGGTTTAAGTCAGTTTAAGAACAGTTAAGTTCAGTTTACCTCGAGGAAAGGCTCACCTTGGACCACGCAGGTTAAAGACATGACTGATCCTGTTACTCAGGATCCCAGCATCAATTCCCGTGGTGGTATAAGGGTGTCGGAAGTCCGGCTCTTTCAGAGCCATTTGTTGGAAATCATGAGAAAAGGAAGCAGCAAAGTATCCAGTCACATCTTTTCCCACCTGCTCCAGAGTATTGCCACTACTCTCAATTGCTTCATAAACAACTTCCAGAAGCTTACGTTGTTGTGGGTCCATCCAGGCAGCCTCGATTGGAGAAATTTCAAAGACGGCCGGATCAAATTCCACTAAACTGCCATCCAAGAAGTACCCCCCGGATATGTTGAAGCTACCAGGGCGATTATTGTTTTCGTGTAGATATGAATCAACATTGAACCTGGCTACTGGAACCTTTGCGTTGTTCGCAATACCTTTGCTCATAATGAGATCCCAAAACTGTCCTGGGGACCGAACCTTCCCGGGAAGATTACAACCTGGTGAAGCAAAATGTTAAACATCATATACAATATAACATTGAACCGACTCACCCATCCCAATAATGGCAACAGGTACCATCTTACAGTCGAAATTTGTCTCCATATTTGGCAAGCAAACTGATCTCGAAAGCAATTTAGAGTTTGCCTTGAATGATGGTGAAATGGAAGGCTCAGGGCTAGTTTGAACGTATAAATCCGGTCAGATTATATCGAATTATCCAGCTATTTTAACAACGGATTCTGGATTTCTGTTTGATATCAAATTGCAGATCCTGTTGAATAATCCTGCTTTTAATATATTAAGTGTATTGATTGAAACTAAGGATTCAATTTTCGAAAAGTGTATTAAACAATCCGTTGAATAATCCGATTATTTATATGAGAGCGGATTGAAAACAATATTCAGAAAAGCAGTCACCGTTTTCAGTCAAATGGAAAATCCGGGGATTTATAGGCTTTCATAAACCTATATAGTCTAAAACTTTAATATAGTAGTAGTAGTAGTAAATTCATAATCGATTCAGTCTATCCGTAACTAAAGCTACGCTGACTATGCGATGCGCCTATGTGTGTCTGATTGTTCAAAGTAGATAGGAAAAAATGAATGACACCTGGCCCCTCCCCCCCGGGAGCCTGTCCGAGTCTACTATAATAAGGTCCCGTTGATTGATTGATTGATTGATTGATTGATTGATTTAATTAACGTCCTTTTCTCAGTCCAAGACTATTTAGGATGGCTAAGCTTTAAGAATCTAACAACTACTAGTGGATATCTATAATAGATATATTCAATTTGGGGGAGTAAAAACGAATACTGGGGTACTATACCCAAATAGAGATTAAATAGTCTTCATTCTTTGAGACACTTCCTTCCTTATTCTTTCCCTACCCCTAATCCAATTAAAGCATCCCAATATCCAATTTCTCTTTTTAAAATCCTAAATCCAATTTGCTATCCCTCCCTTTCTATAAAAGGTAAGAGTTATCCTCTTCTGAATTGTCTTCAATATAGTAAAGGATCCTTTTGCTAATAAGATAATAAAAGAAGATATTACTCTTCTCTGTTTTTATTTCTTTTAAACTAATCCCTTGTATATCTTTATAAACTTGATATCCTCTAGCTCTTATTAAATATATATAATTGAAACTATTGAAAATAATGGGGCAAAGCCAAATCCTAAGCCTTATTATCTATATACAAATCAATTCGGAAAATTCGAAAATTCGAAAATTAAGAGAAAAACATTATATTGTATCGATGCCCAAAGTATAATATTAATTTAAAAACAATAGCATTCTCTATATTGTATTGTCATAATATTCGAATAACTGAAAGCCAAAGGATATAAAAAAGGGTTGTAGTATGAGTAGAATAGCAGCAAGCTCTATATCGAAAAGACTCTTTTAAAAGAAGAAATCTATTGCATATTATATTTCTATATTTGAAATAATAATTGATAATAGATATTGAATCTAACCGGAGCTTCCGTAACCTTTGTATTCGTATTTAAAACTGATATTCAACTCTTTGTAGATATTGCTATTATAAAATCATAATATAATCCTTCGCTATATCTCTGAATCTCTCTCCTTTCAATTCTTCCAATTCCATCTGCGACTCAATCTTAGCTCTGTAGACTCTCAAGAGAGAGCTGGAGGTTTGTAGAATGCACTGCGTACAGGTGTTGAGTCTTCGCATCCCAATAAGGTCCCGTTGTATTGTTCATAATTTAATATATATAGCTTAAAACTTTAACATATAGCTTAAAGCTTAAAACTATATATAGTCTAAAGCTTTAAGCTTTCTTTGAATTAAAGTTTATAATTTAGATAAAAGCTATCCACTCATTTGCTTATTCAACCATTGATTGATTGATTGATTGATTGATTGATTGATTGATTGATTGATTTTATTAACGTCCATCTTCAGTCCAAGACTATATAGGACGGCTAGGCCCTAAGGGCCTAACGGATAACTTTTTAATTTACAATATTGGATATAATCTAATTGAGGAAGTGAAAACAAATGTTGGGAAATAATGCTCGCTCATTATACACATTGTATATAATAAGAAAATTTTGAAAATCAAGAAATTGTAAGGAGGTCAAATCCTTTTCTTATTTCCTCAACTGCTTCTTCTTTATTCTCTTCTTCTCTCTCCTCTTCCACTACTACTCCTTCCTCTTATTCAACCATTGAATGACAACAGCAAGCTGAAAATTCAAAATACTCCACTCAAATTCGTGGAAAATGCATGGACATCTTCTATTGAATTTGGTAAGCCGGCCTTAGTTCAGTCGGCCGCCCTCTTTGCTCAAAATGCTTGATAGCAAAGCATGAGGGTTCCATGATTGCTAAAAAGAGATATAAGGCTGTCGAGTGCTAGAAAGGGTTAGATGATAAACGATCACCCGAGACTGGCGTTTTACATTATGCCTCGGCACAATTTCTTTCCATCGCCTGCTATTGCGGTTTTTTGACTGACTGGAACTCTTCCTACATCTTCATTGTTTGGACCAGTGCTTATGGATAGGTTCGTTGCAGAATGCGCTCCTCCAGGCAACTTCGTTTTCGTTACAGACTTATGCTTCTCCCCTGTCAACTTTTTTTAGCCACTTCATTTTCTGTCGCTTAAACCCCTTGTTGTATCCATGTTGCTTATGTTGATTATTTCAACCGCCATTCTATCACCATTTGTACAGGTCCGTTCTATATCCTGCGGTGCTTTGTGCGTGTCCTTATCGGCGTATACACTGTCTTCTCTGTCAAGGTCGTGGGAATATGCCGACAACGATGACGAATTCAGGTTGTCCTTTGGTTCTGATTTCCAATACTAATGTATCTCGTAGATCGCGAAAACTGACATTGATATTACGACTCAGAATTCGTTTGAGAGCAGTAGTGGGTTTCCGAGGGTATATATTAGATAATGTATTACTACTCCGAAGCCTCTTTAGTCTTCATATTTGGTAGTAGGTGATGACAGTGGAGATAGTGTTATATACTCTAATAATTTAGAGTTGATTCGCATCCTTGATTTACAAGATCCAGAAATACTTTTAGATATAGATTGTCTTTTACTTATTGTTTGCATTTTTTATTTATAATAATATTATCGTAGATATTTATCAATAATTATTATAAATTATAAAGTATAAAGTATAAAAATAGAATATATTAGATAAATAGTCTAATCACTTTATAAAGAAGAATACTATAGCAGCACTGCTTCAAAAATTAAAGGTGTGGCAAAGTCCTGTGTAAGGCAATTCATGGATGACTATAATAGCTGGAGGATGGATGGCTTTGTGTGCAAAGAGTGTGGCTGCGGCGAAGTCAACAACCGGTCTGGCTGCGGTCATCTGGCGTAGGTGAATGATACGGTAGTTCTTTGTCGCAATCTTGCGATTTGTTTTTCCAGTACTACCGTTTAATATATTTTGTTCTTTCCCTCTACTTACCTCTACTATAGTTACCGCAAACCAAATATCAGTACATCAATTAAAAGCATTTCAACGATAAGCACATTTCTACTATCAGTCTACTAAAGATTTCAAACAATGTCAGAAAAATTCCATGCTTGTGTCATCATCTATCCCGCTCCAGGAAAAGAAGCCCGAGTTCATATATTCCTTTCTTATTGCTATCAAGACTTATTAGCTATATCAAACAGCAAATACTAACCGAAAATTAACAAAGCTCAAAGAACTCCTTCATGAGCTTGCTACTAGGGTTAAGGAGGATGAGCCGGGTGCGGTTTGCTTTCAACTTTCTTCTCCCTGTACTTCAAATTTATTCATTCTCCTGTTTGAGCCCAGCTTCGAAATAATAAAATCTAACATAGAATCGAAATAGGAACAATTCCAATTTTTTGAACACTTGAACCCCGAAACTGGAAGAAATCTTTATGTTCTCCAAGAGATTTGTATGTTTATTTTCTTACCTTAGTCTGCCGTTTCATGACCTACGATTTCCATATTCTCATCCTCCTCCTATATATCGCTTAATATAAGATAAAGTCCCAGCTAACGTGGTATATAAGGGAGAACAAAGCGGCGCTCGATGCCCACTTTTCAACTCCTGCTTCTATCACTATTGTGACAGAAAAGTTTCCCAATGAGGGTTTGCTTGCTCAGCCCCTTGATATGATGAAAGTTGAGCCTTTTGAAGGATTTGCTTCTCGTTAGAGTAGCCATTCCCCAAGGTCGTTTATCTCTTGTTCTTCCCTCCTACATCATTCTCTATTTCGAAGAAGAAAGTATAGTGGACAGGAAACGACGAAGTAGAGGTAGATTTGGAATGGAGCCAAGCTTTCAGGCACATATTACCTTCCTTGACTCTATATGATCAACGAATGCCAGTTGAACATCTACAAAGCTAGCTACGTATACTTTCAATCATATATTTCATACGTGTCAGATTCATATCGTCTCTATGTTTATACTGTGCGGCTTGAAGTGCTTCCAAATCGTTACTTCAAGATGATGCATACATAATAAGTGGTTATGAATAGTAATAGTAATGTATTCTCGATTTGCGAGACCTCGAATTGCTTTTAGGTATATGTTATCTCTCACTTATTGCTCGCACTTTTTTATTAATAATAATACTAAATATTTATTAATATTCACTATAGATTATAAAGTATAAAATAGAATATATGAGATAATTAGCCTAGTTGCTTTATGAAGAAGAATACTTTAGATCTTATTTATTTATTTATTTATTTTATTTAAGCGCTGGGCTGGCCACGTGCCACTAAACCTTCCGGGGCGTATCCAGCGCGCCTGCGTAGCTATATACAGATCATACACATAGTTACCAGGCAATTCAAATACATTACTGCGGCAGCCAGGGGAATGCTATTATGAGCATCTTGGTCATATCTAGTGTAGCCAGAGGCTATAATTTTGTCGATAGGTGTTATATAATAAGGAGAAAGGGAGAGGGGAGAGAGATTGAGGTAGGCTAGAAGGAAAGGAGTGGTAAAACGAGAGATCTATGAGTGTACAAAGAAGCGGGTTCTTGCGCACCACTTAGCAAAGACTTTTACACCGTCAGTAGTGCTTAGCGCCCACCAGGCAGCGTTTGGGCAGCGTACT